GCATCTTAAAGTTGCCAAGTTTGAAAAACACTGGTCTACACCAGAAACCTGCTGAGTCAGTTCGATCAGAGGGAAAGAAAAAGAGCTTTGCAAAGCCCAGAAAACAAGGATTCAGCCAGTCATATTATGATCATATAATTTCTGCCCCAGGGCAACTCCAGAGAAGTCCCATAGAGCATTCTGCTATAAACCCCCTTGTTGAGCAAAGAAAGACCTAATAGCCAGGATCAGGTAAAACTACCCAGGGCTAAGTTCACACAACAAGCAAACTGGGGGTCAGCAAAGCCACAAGCGGGGTGTTTATCTAATATGCGATTTATTTATCTATTCATGGCTTCACCGAAGAAGCTCTAAGAAGCTTTCCACAGCACTCCAAACCACAAACTACCCAACTTCCTTTGACCTTAGACTAGCTTGTGGTATGAAGCCAGCCACAGATAGGGGTGCCCCCCAGACTCAGACACACCAACTCAGAGAGATGCAGGGCACACATACCGATGCGTGCAGGTCTGTGCAGACACACACACGGTGCACTCATGTCCCGATATGCACACGCAGATGCCAACGAGTAAGCACCCAGGCACAGATTGCACGCACCAACACACACAACATCCCCATACACACACACGTGTCCCGGTCTTGAAATAAAGATACTCAGAATGAAAGTACGTCTCCCTGTTTTCTTTTCAAGTCACCTCTGATTTTAATCTTTCGAGTAAGATATTCCCTCTTGTTCACTGGGCGCTCTCTGATTTCGCTTTGCCAGGCTGCCCTCTGCTGACCACCACGGGACTTTCAGGCCTAGCTCAGCTTCACGACCTAGAAGAACTGGAGCTGACCAATTGCCCAGGTGCCACTCCTGAGCTTTTTAAATACTTTTCCCAACACCTCCCTGGCTGCATGGTGATCGAGTAAGCGGCTCGCTAGAAGAATCTGGCCAAACCCTGGAGCCATGTTCTCCAATCCTAACCCAGCACTGACCAACCAACCAGAGCCAAGGTTTTATTTATTTATTCATCATTGATATCTATCTATATATGGACATATATAGATAGATATGGATGATTTCTTTCCAGAAGAGATGCTGTGACTTAAAATCACACGCTCACACGTGTACACTCAAAGGGAAAACAGCGTGACGAACGCAAATGAACCATCGAGAAAGAGTTGGTCACTAGGTGGATCGGCCGTGGCTCTACAAAGTGGAAGAATTGTTCCTCGGGTTTGTAAATCCTGACGTCGCCATCATCTCTCATCTTCCTTGTAGTGAGCTGTTTGGAAATCTTACCTTTTGGGGGAAAAAGAATAAGGAAAACATACACAGAAACCCCAACAGCAAAACCAAATGAAAGGGATGTGGGAACATGAGCAAGAAAATCCCAGTGGCCGGTTAGCTAGTTGGCAAGCAAGCCAACGCCACTCAGTGCTGGATGAAAATGGTTTCCGTCCGTCCGGGCGTTTAATGCTATGGGCAGGGAGAGGTTGCCTGTTAGCCTACCCAGTCTGGGTGGCGTAAGAATAAAGGGGTCAGCCCTTGTGAAGGCCTTCAAGGTATGGATGTTGGATGGTGGATGGTGGAGTCTGCCCTGGAAATGGCTGGCATTGTTTACACTGGCGGTGGGAAGTTGAACAAGGGAAGTTGAGCGCCCTCCCTGGACCAGGTGGAACATCAACAGTGGTGGAATGGATTCGCCCCTGAATTCCGAGGATGGGACGCTGCGGTGGTGAAATGACACTTATAAAAGGAAACGTTGGGGTGAGGGGGGAGAGGACGAAGAAGAAGAAGAAGAAGAAGAAGGAAACTGACCAATCCTGTGAGAAAAAACCTTGGATCTTGTCCCAGAAATTCTTGGAGCTCTGGATTTTGGGGAGCTCCTCGTTCTCGGAAGCTCCAGAAAGGGGAGCTGTTTGGAACGCAAAGCTAGAGAGGAAGGAGATCGATCGGAAGAACTCACCCAAACTGTCCCAGCTGACTCGAAGCTCACGCAATGCACAATCCTTGGTGGATCCCATCTGCCTCCTTTTCTTTGGTTTCTTTTTCTTTCTTTTTTCCATTTTGTTTCGACTCTCTTGATTTTGCTAATGAATAGGGGGGGGGAGTTCCCCCCTCACCCTCTCTTTGGAGCAAACCACAGCCTTTGCATGCTCGCTTGCTTCCGTCTTGTGATAAGGTAGAGTCTGAATTCTGCTTTGGGCTGTGGGTGGCAGTTTTTTGATCCTGGCTTGGCTCGTCTGTTCTGGTGTAAAAAGCTGATGTGGCTTGTATACCATCCTTGTTCCATTTCTCCAGACACACAGATCATCAGCTGGACATTCCACTCCTGTCCAAAAAGGGATGGAGGGATCTCCTTCCCTTCCTCCGCCCCATCGACCCAGTCCCCTCTTCCGTCCTGATAAACACCCCCATCACAACATTCCCTTCTTTCCTTCCTGACTTCACTCCACCAAACCAAGGGGAAACAGTGCTCATTGGCTTGGCTTCTGGGCTGAGATGGCTGCTGACCAGCTGTTTGGTGGCTCGCTGCTTTTGCCCCATCACTTTTAGAAGCCATTTCCAAGGCCCCGTGGGATAATAAGGGGCTAAAGGCAACTCTGGCATTCAGGCATTCCTCCTCCTGACCCCGAGATCCATTCCAGGGCACAGCCACGCACTGGCAAGATTTGGGGTCGGGGGGAGCTCGGGGCTCTTTCAGCAATGGGTTCAAATTGAGTTCCAGCCCTGGGATCGCCCTGGAACGGCTGGGCAGTTAAAGCCATCTCTTCTGTGCTTTTGAAAAGAGACTGTGCTCTTTCGTCATGCTAGCCCAGTAGAGCACCTGTGTGGTTGGATTCATTTTTGCTTCTTTGGAAGACAGAGCCCATTTCTAAGGGTGGGTATGCGCAGAGAAACTGTGCTCACCATTCCTCTCCCTGAGACACTGTCGGGATGGGCTCTGGGGCTTTCTGTTCTCCAAAGATGGTAGGATAAAACCATTTCTTCTTTATTTCCCCCCACCTCCCCACCGCATGGGGCAAATCATGGAAGCCCTGTGTCCCCTTCCCCCAAGATCCAGTCCTGTGCATGCTAATGTACCTGGAGAGAAGCAGGGATGAGATGGGGACCAATGGAAGCCATGACTTTTGTTGAACTGTAACCCACAGAGTTGGGGAAAGCAGGCGGGATTGTCTTGAAGGCAGCCTTCCAGCAATATCGCATCAGATGACACTTGATGCCACCATTGGCCTGGGGGAACTGCATGCGCTCCTCGCTGTTTTCTTTTCAAGCCCCCCCCCCAAAAAAGTGCAGCAAAGGGTTCATTTCCATAGGGTGTAGCTATTGCATGACACTCTACCTTCTCTGGAGGAAGGGAAAGGGGAGGGGGCAGTCAATGCAGCCAGGCTGGGGGTGACGAAAGGGGGAGCCCAACATGTCTGGAGCAGCCCAGTTAGGGAAAATTGCCTTACTGGTTTCCCCACCAGTTCATTTCCCCGGGATCCTGGTCCTAAAGCAACTGACTTGCAAGGCTTCTGGGCTTGAGCCAAGATTGGCATAGTTTATTAGACAGTTTTCAGTTCATGAATGCCTTCAGTGGCCACCTCATTTTTCTTATAAATAAAGCCCCCTCCCCCAAAACAATCCCAAACAACCATATTCCTCCAGTTCTGATCTTGGAGGGAGAGGAAGGTGCAATGCCATAAATCCTGGCCTGATTCTACCATCTCTTGAACTCTTCAAGCAGCTGATGAATGTCCTCCATGTATCCCAGTGGACCATGGGCACTATGTACCACTATTCCTTTGAAGTCTTCCCAGCATCCTCCTCTTGCCCAGGGCTTCATCTGAGCCTGGAATTTCAATGCCAGCCATGCATTTATGCCAAAATTGTGTGCTAAAAGACCGCTGGCTACCCACTCCCACCATTTTCGTCCTTTCCCCCAAACCGCCAATCTCGTTTTCGATGCGCTCTGAAAAATCACACCGATCGTGAATGAGTTGCTTGTGAACTTAACTACATGGAGTGGCTTTAATGAAAAAGTAGCACGAGACGTTTTCCTCCCATCCAATCTGCTTAAGAGGGTGGGCAACCTGCAGCCAGAAAGTCACAGGAGGCCCTTGGCCCAATATCCTTGAACACATGTTGAAAGACCTCTGCAAATAATCAGTCCAGGTCTCTGTTAATAGTTATTTTATCTCTTTCTGGAAGGCTTAGGAGAGGAAAAAGAAAGAAGACAGAGATTTGGTGGTGCCACTCACTTTAAGCTCTGTCCCTACCCGCCATCCTCCCTGACATTCAGCTTGTACCCTAACAGATTAAGGTCTAAGGAATTCATGCATCTGATCTCTCGGTCTGATTCCAAACTTTCCCTGATATTTATTTCTCCCAGTCCAATACATTGGGAGAAATCATCCACATACTTGCTTATTTGTTTACTTAGGTATGTAGGCAGTAATTTTTATGCTGCCTATTTTCAGGACCCTAAGTCAGGAAACCGATGAGTATGTTTTTTCCTTGCATCCCATAGACAGCAATGTCACGCGGCCGGAGAACGGACACATTTGGATCGGCTGCAGATTTCCGCAGCTCAGGCCAGCAAGCTGCCTCTTATTTTGCAAAACGCTGTCAAATTTCAACAGAAAAATGGCTTTGATGCATATCTGTAGAACAACTTGGCTAAATTCCCACCCAGAAAAGTTTGGAGAACTCTCAATAGATTCCAGACCAACTCTTTTTTTTTTTTTTTAAGGCTTTACCTTTTCTTAACACCCTAGTAAAGGTGAGGATTTTGTACGTTATATGATTTAGGCTGAGAAATGGTGACATTAATTTTTAGAAAGGGTGCACTGGTTTATGTTAAAAAGAGGGAGAGAAAAAAACCAGGCGGGGAGTTATTCCACCCGTTTATGATTCAAATGAAGCCCTAAATGAACCAAAATTGTATCAACAGGCACAGAATTAAGTCCCATTGCTTTCAGATTTCCTATTAGAAAAAGTTTTTAGAAATATACTGGCTAAGAAGTAACTATTTAGAGTGCAATTAATAATAGAGAGCAAAGGGAGACTAACACCATTTGAAACAGTATATTTCAAGAGCAGACTGACTCTGATCTATATGGTTTACCTATCTATCTATCTATCTATCTATCTATCTATCTATCTATCTATCTATCTATTTATTTATTCTTCTAGATGGTATATTCAGGTAATATTTGGATCACATCCCATAATCTTCCAAGCCAGTTACCTAGCCAGAAAATCAATAAACCTTATCCAAGTCAGATTAGAATTTAATTTTGCAGCAGTCAATTAAATTATTTATTTTCATATTTAATAATTTCATATTTAGTAAGTGTTAATAACACATTATTAAAATAAATTAAGCAATTAAATGACTTGCTCTCAGGGCAATCCTTTATCTCTCTAATCCAATGTTAGTCCAGTTGAAGTTCATAAGGTTTACTTCTAGGAAACAGCCTTGGGATCTCTATAGGATATGGTCAAAAAAGTCAAGGTGGGGCAGTTGAGGCTCCACCTGCTTTTTACATGCATCAATTGCTCTGCATGTCCACCATCTTGACTTTTTTGACCACACCCTGTGGACATCCCTGAGTATGGCAGAGCTCCTTACCTGTCAGTTTTCCCAACAATTTCTAAATTTTCTACCATCACAACCCTAGATTTGTTTAGGTCATCATTAAATGCCTTCTCCAACCTGGAGTCCTCCGGATGTGTGGGACTGCAAGGCCAGTAATTCCCACCCAACACATCAGGAATCGGATGGATGCTGAGGACTCTGGGTGAGAGAAGAGGGCATAAAATGCTTCTCAGCGCAGAACAATGACTGAGGCATGTCGCATCACTCAAAAATGAGATAAATATATGAAAGATAGTTATAGCAGTAGAGGGTAGCCATAGCAAATAAATAAATGGATAAACT